GTCCAGAGGTCTTACCCAGGTTCCTGTGCCAGTGGAGTATCACGTATCCATTGAGGCCTAGATGACCATCTTCATTATATGCGCATTATTATTATTTTGGGTCTGGTGAGTGCAAGCACACCCCTTTTTTCTTCATATCACTGAAGTCACGAGCACATAATATCATTGACGCAAGTCTCTAGGAGCTTTGGCGCAACTTCATTGAAATATCTTGATGATTATATAGACTTTTTAATCATATGGAATTGATTGGTTATATCTGTCACCATTTTATGATGTCACAATATACTCACCATTGTCTTCATATAAGACATCATAGTCATGCTTAATATTTATGTATTATTGCCATATCTTTTTTTATCGAGAGTTCTAATTTCACAAACATGTCTGCCATTTATCATTTTGTGGGCATTTGTAAAAAAAATCCTCCTTGTTCTTTCATATTTCTAGTATCCTCTTCACCCTCTACATTAGGGTTTTTTTTTACCTTGATTTAATTCAGTTATCCCTAATGACAGTCTGGATTGATCTCCACTATTGTTCTTGTTTGTCACTTGCTCCCCTTTGTTTCTTCAGGGTTTGACCCCCTGGACTCTTCTCCTGTGGAGGCACATTTTTTTTATTGTGCTTATGCTTGTTTTTGGGGTGTTTACCCCACCTTTTACCGATCTGCTCTTAATCTCTCCTTTGTCTCTTATTTGACAGTTTGAGGTCTGCTATTACCTCTCTGTTTAGATGTGGAAAAGATTATATAAGTGCGGAAGGGATTTTATCCTCTTCTCCTCAAAATAAACACCTTGGGAAGCAAATTTATATGCTGGTTTCTGGTTTCCTCCTTTTCTCCTTTCAATCAAACCATTTGCCTCCTAATGTCCTTTCCATTTCACAAAATTAGACACTTTCTTCTCCTTTTTATTCCTTTTTAAAGCCCACTGGGTGACCCCCTGTTTTTCTCCCCCACCGTATAATTCCTTTGAGAGCCGTCTCCACCTGTTGCATTGCTTCACTACATCACAAACACACAATAACAGTTTGCTATTTGTCCTGGGCACTCACCGCTCCCCATTGTTGATATTCCAGCTGCTCTCTTCAGTCCATATGGATTCACAAAGTTTTAACCAAGGTAAGGATCTTTATTTTAGCCACGTGACTGTAATTCTCAAATCTCATTGGATTCAGCTGACAATAACTGACACTTTTTTGAAAATAAGGATCCATATCCTGATGAGCTCACTTTGTCAATTGAACCTGTTTCCTGTTATTAATATTGTATTGTGCCTCACTTTTATGTTCCAGCTTGCTAACCTTTCTAGCAGGCTTTGCCAGAAACACCACTGCTTCACAGCTTCCCAGCCACTGCAAGTATTCCACACTTAAAAGTGTGTAGAATACCTACTGTACACTGTGGTTTCTCCTTCCAGTTCATACATCACTGCCAAATGTACAAGCCAGTGGGAAGAACCACAATGCATAGTGGGCAAAGAGGTATTTGAACTGTTGCACATGGTAGTTAAAAATGCTGTTATTTACTGATCTGAAATGAGATGTATTGTTGTCTATGGGACATTGCACACAGCTGAGTAAAGATCAGTAATACAGAATTAAGTACAGAGCAGTAAAACAAAAATAGAAAACTTTTTATTTACATGCAGTGATTTACTCTCATGTTTACTTGTCTATGCGAGTATAAATGAGTATATTCCAATACTGGCACTAAAGAAGAATTTCTATGTGCTTACACACCTTTACTCGCCTATACTCAACATTACTCAGGTCTTTACACCCCAGTTTTTGGCCCCTTGCACACGGGCGTCACAAGTTCCTGAGTAAACATCAGTAAAGTGTGACTCCCATGTACAAGGGGCCTTAAGTGGCCAGAAAACAGCAAAGTGGTGTCAGCAGTTAAAGGGTCACTTTAAAAGGAACGTCCCTTCCTTGTCCTTTCCCATCAGTCCTATAATCTGTCAGATCCCTCAGAAATACTTTTTTTCAGGTTTGGAGAGAATGGGACTTTTTTTCTTTTCTTCCTCACAAGATGCAGTGCTAGGACCGCATTGGTCAATCACTTGAATTTGAATCTGTCCTGTGGGGAGGAGGTCATTAACTCTGTGTTAGCTGAACAACATTGACCAAGATGGACCTTGCACAATGATTGGACATCTGCAAGTGAAAGAGCCAGCAGGGGAGCATGGCTGAAATACGCATTAGTGGGTCGAGTGAGACTATTCAGGAATAAAAAGTTTTCAATTTTGTCCCTGTTTTTACAAATTATGTTCTTGACCCTGTGGGCTAACTTACTCAGCAACAAGTCTGTGTTGTCTGCCTGTACCTAAAGGAGAAGGTAATGGAGGGGTGTGTCACATTAGGTCCCAAGACCTGCGTACATCACATGCCGAAGTTATCTCCACCCAATAGCACAAGTACTGGCCTAGTGAGTGGTGCAGGAGCATGTCAAACAAAGTCTAGGAAAAGTCAACCAAAAATGCTTTTCTGACTAACAAAGCTGTTAGGACTATTATTAGAGATGAGCGAATCGAACTTGGCGAAGTGGAATTCGTTTCGAATATTAGAAAAAATTTGATTCGCGCTGAATCCGAAAATTAGCAGACTTCGGATGCGCGAATTGAAATTTTTCCAAAAATGGCGGCGACATGTGGTGGCGACAGAGCGGGGATCTCTGGGAAGGCGCGCAGACAAGGCGCGCTGACCCATAATGCATTCATTCATGAAATGTGATCGCATTAGCCAATCAGCAGCCAGCCAGCCAGCACTGTGTAATGGTGGAGCTATAAATTGCGGCCATCTTACAATTCTCCATTTGCCTCCGGTCATTCAAGAGAGACAGACCTCTCTGTATTAGGGACAGAGTTAGGGCCACAGATACTTTAGGGACACAGAATCGTTACTCAGGGACAGACACAGAATTGTTACTGAGGGACACAGAATTGTTACTGAGGGACACAGAATTGTTAATCAGGGAAAGACACAGAATTGTTACTCAGGGACACAGAACTGTTACTCAGGGACACAGAACTGTTACTCAGGGACACAGAACTGTTACTCAGGGACAGACACAGAATTGTTTACTGAGGGACACAGAATTGTTACTGAGGGACACAGAATTGTTTACTGAGGGATACAGAATTGTTTACTCAGGGACAGACACAGAATTGTTACTGAGGGACACAGAATTGTTACTGAGGGACACAGAATTGTTACTGAGGGACACAGAATTGTTACTCAGGGACACAGAATTGTTACTCAGGGACACAGAACTGTTACTGAGGGACACAGAATTGTTACTCAGGGACACAGAATTGTTACTCAGGGACACAGAACTGTTACTCAGGGACACAGAATTGTTTACTCAGGGACAGACACAGAATTGTTACTGAGGGGACACAGAATTGTTACTGAGGGACACAGAATTGTTACTCAGGGACACAGAATTGTTACTCAGGGACAGACACAGAATTGTTACTGAGGGACACAAAATTGTTACTGAGGGACACAGAATTTTTTACTGAGGACACAGAATTGTTACTCAGGGACAGACACAGAATTGTTACTGAGGGACACAGAATTGTTACTGAGGTACACAGAATTGTTACTCAGGGACAGACACAGAATTGTTACTGAGGGACACAGAATTGTTACTGAGGACAGACACAGAATTGTTACCTAGGGACACAGAATTGTTACTGAGGGACACAGAATTGTTACTGAGGGACACAGAATTGTTTACTGAGGGACACAGAATTTGTTACTCAGGGACACAGAATTGTTACTCAGGGACACAGAACTGTTACTCAGGGACACAGAATTGTTACTGAGGGACACAGAACTGTTACTCAGGGACACAGAATTGTTACTCAGGGACAGACACAGAATTGTTACTGAGGGACACAGAATTGTTACTGAGGGACACAGAATTGTTACTGAGGGACACAGAATTGTTACTGAGGAGACAGAATTGTTACTCAGGGACAGACACAGAATTGTTACTGAGGGACACAGAATTTGTTACTGAGGGACACAGAATTGTTACTCAGGGACACAGAATTGTTACTCAGGGGCACAGAACTGTTACTCAGGGGACACAGAATTGTTACTCAGGGACACAGAACTGTTACTCAGGGACACAGAAATTGTTACTCAGGACAGACACAGAATTGTTTACTGAGGGACACAGAATTGTTACTGAGGGACACAGAATTGTTACTCAGGGACACAGAATTGTTACTCAGGGACACAGAACTGTTACTCAGGGACACAGAATTGTTACTCAGGGACAGACACAGAATTGTTACTGAGGGACACAGAATTGTTACTGAGGGACACAGAATTTGTTACTGAGGGACAGACACAGAATTGTATTACTGAGGGACAGACACAGAATTGTTACTGAGGGACACAGAATTTGTTACTGAGGGGACACAGAATTGTTACTCAGGGACAGACACAGAAATTGTTACTGAGGGACACAGAATTGTTACTGAGGGACACAGAATTGTTACTCAGGGAACACAGAATTGTTACTCAGGGACAGACACAGAATTGTTACTCAGGGACACAGAATTGTTACTGAGGGACACAGAATTGTTACTGAGGGACAGACACAGAATTGTTACCTAGGGACACAGAATTGTTACTCAGGGACACAGAACTGTTACTCAGGGACACAGAATTGTTTACTGAGGGGACACAGAACTGTTACTCAGGGACACAGAATTTGTTACTCAGGGACAGACACAGAATTGTTACTGAGGGACACAGAATTGTTACTGAGGGACACAGAATTGTGTTACTGAGGGACAGACACAGAATTGTTACTGAGGGACAGACACAGAATTGTTACTGAGGGACACAGAATTGTTACTGAGGGACACAGAATTGTTACTCAGGGACAGACACAGAATTGTTACTGAGGGGACACAGAATTGTTACTGAGGGACACAGAATTGTTACTGAGGGACACAGAATTGTTACTCAGGGATACAGAATTGTTACTCAGGGACACAGAATTGTTACTCAGGGACACAGAACTGTTACTCAGGGACACAGAATTGTTACTCAGGGACAGACACAGAATAGTTACTGAGGGACACAGAATTGTTACTCAGGGACACAGAATTGTTTACTCAGGGACACAGAACTGTTACTCAGGGACACAGAATTGTTACTCAGGGACAGACACAGAATTGTTACTGAGGACACAGAATTGTTACTGAGGACACAGAATTGTTACTGAGGGACAGACACAGAATTGTTACTGAGGGACACAGAATTGTTACTGAGGGACACAGAATTATTACTCAGGGACACAGAATTATTACTCAGGGACACAGAATTGTTACTCAGCAGCCAGCCAGCCAGCACTGTGTAATGGTGGAGCTATAAATTGCGGCCATCTTACAATTCTCCATTTGCCCTCCGGTCATTCAAGAGAGACAGACCTCTCTGTATTAGGGACAGAGTTTAGGGCCACAGATACTTTAGGGACACAGAATCGTTACTCAGGGACAGACACAGGAAATTGTTACTGAGGGACACAGAATTGTTACTGAGGGACACAGAATTGTTAATCAGGGAAAAAAAAGACACAGAATTGTTACTCAGGGACACAGAACTGTTACTCAGGGACACAGAACTGTTACTCAGGGACAGACACAGAAAGTTGTTACTGAGGGACACAGAATTTGTTACTGAGGGACACATAATTGTTACTGAGGGACACAGAATTGTTACTCAGGACAGACACAGAATTGTTACTGAGGGACACAGAATTGTTACTGAGGGACACAGAAATTGTTACTGAGGGACACAGAATTGTTACTGAGGGACACAGAATGTGTTACTCAGGGACACAGAACTGTTACTGAGGGACACAGAATTGTTTTACTCAGGGTACACAGAATTGTTACTCAGGGACACAGAACTGTTACTCAGGGACACAGAATTGTTACTCAGGGACAGACACAGAATTGTTACTGAGGGACACAGAGAATTGTTACTGAGGGACACAGAATTGTTTTTACTCAGGGACACAGAGAATTGTTACTCAGGGACAGACACAGAATTGTTACTGAGGGACACAAAATTGTTACTGAGGGACACAGAATTGGTTATCTGAGGTACACAGAATTGTTACTCAGGGACATACACAGAATTGTTACTGAGGGACACAGAATTGTTACTGAGGTACACAGAAATTGTTACTCAGGGACAGACACAGAATTGTTACTGAGGGACACAGAAATTGTTACTGAGGGACCGACAGACAGAATTGTTACCTAGGGACACAGAATTGTTACTGAGGGACACAGAATTGTTACTGAGGGACACAGAATTGTTACTGAGGGACACAGAATTGTTACTCAGGGACACAGAATTGTTACTCAGGGACACAGAACTGTTACTCAGGGACACAGAATTGTTACTGAGGGACACAGAACTGTTACTCAGGGACACAGAAAGTGTTACTCAGGGACAGACACAGAATTGTTACTGAGGGACACAGAAATTGTTACTGAGGGACACAGAATTGTTACTGAGGGACACAGAATTGTTACTGAGGGAGACAGAATTGTTACTCAGGGGGGGGGGGGGACAGGACACAAACAGGTGGGGGGGGGAATTGTTACTGAGGGACAACAGAATTGTTTACTGAGGGACACAGAATTGTTACTCAGGGACACAGAATTGTTACTCGAGGGGCACAGAACTGTTACTCAGGGACACAGAATTGTTTACTCTGGGACACAGAACTGTTACTCAGGGACACAGAGATTGTTACTCAGGGACAGACACAGAATTGTTACTGAGGGACACAGAATTGTTACTGAGGACACAGCGATCACACAGAATTGATTACTCAGGGACACAGAATTGTTACTCAGGGACACACAGAACTGTTACTTTCAGGGACACAGAATTGTTACTCAGGAGCTGCAAGACACAGAATTGTTACTGCGAGGGACACAGAAGAATTGTTACTGAGGGACAGACACAGAATTGTTACTGAGGACAGACACAGAATTGTTACTGAGAGGGACACAGAATTGTTACTGAGGGGACACAGAATTGTTACTCAGCGACAGGGACAGACACAGAATTGTTATACTGAGGGACACAGAATTGTTACTGAGGTGACACAGAATTGTTACTCAGGGATACAGAATTGTTACTGCTCAGACACAGAATTGTTACTCAGGGACACAGAACTGTTACTCAGGGGACAGACACAGAATTGTTACTGAGGGACACAGAATTGTTACATGAGGTGACACAGAATTGTTACTCATAGGACAGACACAGAATTGTTACTGAGGGACACAGAATTGTTACTTGAGGGACACAGAATTGTTACTCAGGGACACAGAATTGTTACTCAGGACACAGAACTGTTACTCAGGGACACAGAATTCTTACTCAGGGACAGACACAGAATTGTTACTGAGGGACACAGATTTGTTACTGAGAGGACACAGAATGTTACTCAGGAGACACAGAATTGTTACTCAGGGACAGACACAGAATTGTTACTGAGGGACACAAAATTGTTACTGTGAGGGACACAGAATTGGATACTACTGAGGTACACAGAATTGTTACTCAGGGGACAGACACAGAATTGTTACTGAGGGACACAGAATTGTTTACTGAGGTACACAGAATTGTTGCGCTCAGTGGACAGACACAGAATTGGAGTTACTCAGGGACACAGAATTGTTAACAGAGGGACACAGAATTGAGTAGAATTGTTACTGAGGACAGGACACAGAATTGTTACCTTAGGGACACAGAATCTGTTACTGAGGGACACAGAATTGTAATTACTGAGGGACACAGGGAATTGTTACTGAGGGACACAGAATTGTTACTCAGGGACACAGAATTGTTACTCAGGGGACACAGAAACTGTTTACTCAGGGACACAGAATTGTTACTGAGGGTCACAGAACTGTTACTCAAGGGGACACAGAATTGTTACTCAGTGGACAGACACAGAATTGTTACTGAGGGACACAGAATTGTTACTGAGGGGACACAGAATTGTTACTATGAGGGACAGACACAGAATTGTTACTGAGGGACAGACACAGAATTGTTACTGAGGGACACAGAATTGTTACTGAGGGACACAGAATTGATTACTCAGGGACAGACACAGAATTGTTACTGAGGGACACAGAATTGTTACTGAGGGACAAAGAATTGTTACTGAGGGGACACAGAATTGTTACTCAGGGATACAGAATTGTTACTCTGGGACACAGAATTGTTACAGCTCAGGGACACAGTCAAACAAAGAACTGTTACTCAGGGACACAGAATTGTTACTCAGGGGACAGACACAGAATAGTTACTGAGGGACACAGAATTGTTACTCAGGACACAGAATTGTTTACTCAGGGACACAGAACTGTTACTCAGGGACACAGAATTGTTACTGAGGGACACAGAATTGTTACTGAGGGGACACAGAATATGTTACTGAGGGACAGACACAGATCCGATTTGTTACTGAGGTCACAGAATTGTTACTGAGGGACACAGAATTATTACTCAGGGACACAGAATTAATTACTCAGGGACACAGAATTGTTACTCAGGGACACAGAATTGTTACTCAGGGACACAGAAACTGTTACTCAGGGACACATGAGAAGGGATGTTACTCAGGGACACAGAACTGGTTACTCAGGGACACAGAATTGTTACTGCAGACTCAGGGACAGACACAGAATTGTTACTGAGGGACACAGAATTGTTACTGAGGGACACAGAATTGTTACTCAGGGACAGACACAGACAACCTTGTTACTGAGGGACCGGTCAGAATTTCTTACTGAGGGACACAGAATTGTTACTCAGGGACACAGAACTTGTTACTCAGGACACAGAACCGTTACTCAGGACACAGAACTGTTACTCCAGGGACACAGAATTTTTACTCATGGACACAGAACAGTTACTCAGGGACACAGAATTGTTACTCAGGACAGACACAGAATTGTTTACTGAGGGACCACAGAATTGTTACTGAGGGACACAGAATTTAGTTACTGAGGGAGTGGCACCAGAATTGTTACTCAGGGGTCGACACAGAATTGTCATCCAGCGGTCAAAGCGTGTGCTTACTCAGGAGCCAGACAAAGTTTGACTGAGACCGGACTTCGCATAGGTTGTGGCACACAATACGGTCGACTTCGGCTCTTCCTCTCCAGGTCACCTCTTAACTAGAGACAGCGCAGCAGAGGCAGGTTCGTACAGCCCCAAGGTCGCGTGGTTCCAGGGTGACGGTCAGACACAACCGTTAAGAGTTGGCATGCCCGGGAGCAATAGCCCACTGAAATGCACGTGTCTCGACCGTTAGTGACCGATGGCCCCCACTGGAATCAGGTAGTGCGTTTGGTTGTGGTGAGCGTCCCTCACCAAGCGAAGTATCGCATGCTGTTGGCTCACCCCACTGTACAGTGAGGAAGAGCTAACAAGTAGGGCGGTCAGGAACGGGAGGGAGACATCCGCCTCTTCAGCAGCCAGGCGAAGAAAGTACTGGCGAGGAGAGTGGCTCGGTAGCCGTCTAGAGAGACAGGTCTGTCTCCTGACCCACACGCAGCCGACGGGGCTAGTAGTGAGGCGGAGACCCTAATTGATGAATGATGAGGGCGCTGATGAAACTCGCACTTTCGGCAGCCTCGTCGTCATCAGGCTATTTCTTCCGCATCATCAGGAGAAGAGTGTGCTAGCTTGGCCAAGCAGCGGAGCAAAACAGTCGGTGGGTTGCCCAGGAGGCATTGCAGGGTCGCAGCAGTGTCAGTGGAGGCAAACGGCCACGGAGTAGAGCACCACTCCACTGCAAGCCTACCACCACGGCCAGTAGTGGTGCCGGGTGTGCACGGAGGAAGTAGCAGTCAGCCAGTGAGGAGTATCGGGCGGCAAAGTTTCCTACACGGCGGTGTGGCAATTTTTCGTCAAGCCGCCCGAGAAGTAAACGTAGCCATATGTCGACTATGTGGCCAGAAAGTCAAGTGTGGCCAGGGGGGCCCATGTTGGGACTACAGCGTTTGCGTCAGCATATGCAGCGTCGCCATTCGGTTGCCTGGGAAAACCGTGATAAAGATACGGCGGGTTCTGCCTGCCCCAGCCCCATCACCCGCCTACTCCTTACTTGCTCGCGTCACACGACGGCAATCGCCCTCTATCACGCCAGGTCATTGAGGCTCCATACACCTCGGCTGAGGGGCTGTTGACGACTCGTCGGGCATCTCCGCATCGGTTCAGATGCTCCACTTCTCTGCTCTGTGGCTCCTCTTCATCGGATTCCGTCAGCAGTCCTTTCTTGGAATCCGTTATGCCATGAGACATACAGTTTTCGGAGTCACGCACCCTGTCGGGTGGCAGCTATTTTTGAACGTCGCGGTGAGGCTGATTACGGGCTACTATAGCTGCTGATGCCCAGGGTCCTTCTCTTTCCAAGTGGTGGAGTCAGGCTAAACCTTTCGAGGATACATGGTGTATTTATTGGCTTGTGCCGAGTTCCCACGCGTTTCCTGAGAGTTCCAAGCTCGAACGCGATCCTCCTACTGCTGTTCCCAAAGCCACCTTGCCATGAGCACTGCATGGTTCACATCTCACACAGAGGATGGTGAGTCGAATATTTTGGAGCCTCGGTGGTGTGTATCGGCATTCATAGCGACTACGGCCGCGCTCCTACTTGCCATATGAGCCTATATACCCCTACTCTCCAGGGACAGTTGCATGTCCGCGGTTCAGCGTCTCTCACTGGGTACCCTGTACGGGCCGCCCACAGTTCTGTTTCCAGCCAGCACACTCTGCCACCCCCACCCCCACGCCCCCCCTTGCCTCCACATGTGGTGTGTACGTCATTTATGACCTACGGAGCAAAGCTGGTCCGCCTCTACGGGCCTCGCCAGATCCGCCGTGCTGCTCAGCCGTAATTCAGCCCTTGCCAAGTCCCCTATCATACGCGGACGGCCATAAATGCATGTGGCCGGTTCCTCAGAGGTATTCTCACGCTGGGCTGCACCGCGTACGGTATGGCTCTTAGTGCGAACGTCCATCGCCAACCACTGCCTGAGAGACACTTCTGAGTGTAATCCACACACATGTGGAGTGTCGACAGATGGCTGTTGACATCGGGTTCAATATGGCGCTTAGGGCTAGTATAGCTGCGTTCCAAAAATACACCATCACTAACTTGCAAGACAGCCCTTAAAATAGTCATCTAAGCTGTGCCAGGTCCAGGTCTTCCAAGGTTCCATGTGGCTATTGCTGCTTTTCCATGCCACTCCTCTGCCTGCTGCAGCGGGCAGAAACAGACTTCAACATGCATCGGTGTGTTCTGAGACATTTTTGACAATCGGGTGTGGCGTTTCAACCTCTTAGCATATGGTTAGACCCGGCTTAATTGCATCAGCCCCTATATACCGCCATCCTCTGCTGCTGCGCCAGGTCCA